CTTTAACTGCTGCTACTGATTTTCTTTTTAACACACGACACTGACTTTTTTCATGTCCCTGATGCTTACAGTGACAGCAATATGCAGGCAAAATTATCATACACAATTGTTTGGAATTCCTCCACGACCTTTCCAGTTGTAACATCTACATATTGAAGCCTCACCTTTTCTGGAAGTTTGTCCAGCAAATCAACAATTACCTTCACTCTTGCTGTGCTAGGACGTGATCTAATTTGTGTGGCCTTGTCAATTGCGATTGGCCTACCAACTGCAGATGCGATGGACATTAACGTCTTGCTCGCAAATAAGTCAGGTGAGAGATTTGGAAGTGAAATCCAAACTGCCGCCTTTGGAGTTTCCTCCTTAGGATTATATCCAACACTACATGGAAAAATCCTATATTGGTGCTCCTTTCCATTGTGTTGAAAGTAACTAACATCTCTTGCTAACGAACACACAATGTCTTCATGTTGATCACATCAAACTAGAATTTGTCGTGGAGCAAGTAAACCTAAAACCCAATGACCTTTTATACCAAGCATCTTCGGCAGTAAACTTCGTAAAACTTGCAAATCTGGTGCATCAAACGACAACTTGATTACTACTGCCTGGTGCAAGCCTTCCTCTTTAGCAAATTGCTCACGTTCTTCCATAGTAAATTGTAGGGTTGGAACTCCATGCACAACAGCCGTAGGTTTCAGTTGTAATTTTGTGAGAGGTGCTACTGTTTGTTGAATTCTTGTACGATCAGCATATGTCAAGGTGTTACTAGGATTTAAGGAAACTTCGTTAGGGTTTTTAATTGGCTCTCCCGCAGCCATAGGCCGGGGAGAGATCGCATCAGCCATGAAAGCCCTAGTTCTCTATAGAATCGCCTGGGAGGGAGGAGAGAGGAGAGAGCGTTTTTCCCGCCGGGGTTTTTTTTGAAATGGTTTAGGGTTTTTTTTGGCAAAATCCACTAGGCAGTATGCCTAGGGCTATTTTATATATCTGTTCCGATGGTTCGGTTAGCTTCTGGAGGTGATTTATGACTTAGGAGTGTGATCGGAATGGGTTTTGGAGGCTTGGAGTAGATTTAGGCTTGAATTGGCGAAGTTGATATTTTGGCGATTTCCGGTTGGCAGGCGAGATTTTGATATAGGGGTCGGAATGGAATTCCGAGAGTTGCAATAGCTTTGTTATGTGATTTGGGATGTGTGTGCAAAATTTCAGGTTATTCGGACGTGGTTTGGTTGGGTTTTTGATCAAAAGCGTATTTCGGAATGATTTAGAAAACTTAGGCTTGAATCCGATGTGTTTTGGGTGATTTGATGTTGTTTGAGGTGCTTCGATGACTGGAACAAGTTTGAATAAGGTTTTAGGATATGTTGGTCCCTTTGGTTGAGGTCCCGGGGGCCTCGGGTGAGTTTCAGGTGGTCAATCGGATCATTTTTGGAGTTTGGAAAATTGCAGAAAATCTGCTCAGCTGTTGCAGAGAATTATCCCTTCGCGTTCGCGAGTGGAGCACCGCGTTCGCGTAGAAGGATTTGAGGAAGGCCAGAATTAAGCCTTCGCATTCACGAGAGGGGCATCGAATTCGCGTAGGGGTTGGGTAGTTGGTCATCGCGTTCACGAGATGGACCTCGCGATCCCGTAGAGGAATTGGGTCAGCTGTGGTTTGAGGTCAAATGTTCATCGCGTTCGCGGAAGGGTGAGCGCGTTCGCGAAGAGTGGTCTGAGTAAGGCGTCGCGTTCGTGGCTGTCATGTCACGTTCGCGTAGAGAAAAAAATTGGTCAACGTAAGTTTGTGCTTCGCGAACGCGAGGGTTTGACCGCGTTCGCGAAGAAGGAAGGTCAGACCTTGGCAGAATGTTTTTAAACTCGTCATGTTCGCGAATGTGGGTCTATTTTCACCCATAGCTGCTCGTTTTTGGAGATTTTTGAAGGAGATTGAAGAGGATTCAAGGGGAATCGTTGGGAGGTAAAATTCTTGGACTAAAAACTCGATTATTATGTGAATTCCACCTAGAAAATCATGAAAGCTAAGCCAAAAATTGAAGAACTAGGGCTTGAGAAATTGGACTTTTGAATTGGGATTTGAAGGACCATCTGGGGACGGATTTGAACACTTTTGATATGTATGAACTCGTGGGGAGATAAGGAATCTATTGATGTAAAAATTTCTGAGTTTCGAGAAGTGGGCCCGGGGCTCGGGTTTTGCTAATTTCGGGATTTGTGCCCTTTATTGATTGTTTTCGTTTGGGCTTTGTTCCCTTTGCATATTTTAATGCCCTCGTTCTGATTTTGGATAGACTCGATGCGCGTGGAGGCCGATTCGAGGGGCAAAGGCATCGTGAGCTAGAGATTTAGCCGGTTCGAGGTGAGTAATGATTGTAAATGATGTCCTGAGGGTTTGAAACCCCGGATTTGCATATCGTAGTTCTATGTTGAGGTGAGACACACGCTTGTTGACGAGCGTGGGATCGTACACTATTGGGGATTGTGACTTGGTCTGTCCCGGTTGATGATTTTACTGCGTATTTGATTGAAACTTAATTGCTATCACTATGATTTGGGCTGAATGCCATATTTGGGCTTCGTGCCAACTATTTGAACCCTTCGGGGCTTTTTATTGATATTTCCTCACTGTTTTGACTTACTACTTGAACTCAGTCATGTTATTTTCCACTCCTTTACTACTCAGCCATTTTTACTCAGTTTTGGAGACTTAAATGATATTTTAAATGATGTTTGGGCTGAGGAACACTGTTTTACTATTGCCCGAGGGGCTTGTGAGTATTTTTGACTGAGTAAGGCCGAGGGCCTATGTTTTGAGGAGACACTGATACTGATTTGAGGCCGAGGGCCTGAGATATATACGCCACGAGGTGACTTGATTGATATGAGGCCAAGGGCCTAGTTGTGATGCCACGAGATGGCTTGTTATTGCGCTTGGGCCGTAAGGGGCCCCTCCAGGAGTCTGCACACCCCCAGTGAGCGTGCATACCTAGTATGATGTGAGATTGAGCCCGAGGGGATGTTATTGTTCCGAGATGTTTCCCGAGGGGCAGATGTGGTGATACTGTGCGCAAGGGGCGAGCTTTTTTTATTTATTTACTGTTCCTTAATTATCTGTCATTTACCTGTTTACTTGTTGAAAGAGGATTTTACTTGTATTTTCACTGGTTTACTGCTTTTAAATGATTTTTAATGCTTCATCATAGAGTGCTTTGTGCCTTACATGTTTTCTTACTTTCAGTCATTATTTACATTTGTTACTCACTGAGTTGGAGTATTCACTTTACTCCTTGCACCCTGTGTGCAGATTCAGGCGTAGCTGGACCCGCTCCCGAGTGCTGATTCATTCCCGCTGCAGGCGGATCTTCGAGGAGTCTTTAGGCAGCTGTTGGCGTTTCGCAGCCTGGAGCTCCTCTCTATCTATTTCTTTTACAGTCTTAGTCCAGTAATTCAAAATCTTTAGTTACCTTTGAGTATTGGGTACTGTTAGATGCTCGTGACTTGTGACACCCCGGTTAGGGCTATGTTGGGTTATGTTTCCGTACTTTATTGACATTATTCACTACTTAATATTATTAAATCATGTTTTAGACTGTTTTATGTTGTTTAACTACTTAAAAGGGTAAATTAGGCTTAGTTGGCTGGCCTTGTCTATACGAGAGGCGCCATCATGATCGGGTTGGGATTTAGGGTCGTGACATGCTTGATGCTCCTCCAACTTACGGCTCTACCTCCTAAGGTAAAACATATCTTGAGGTAGATTTTCTAGAATCTCTATCTGACTGGAAATCTGAATCAGTATAGCCAATGGGTGCAAGATCACCTGAGTGATACACCAACATATTATCCCTAGTCCTTTTCAAGTACTTGATCATATGCTTCACGACAGTCCAATATTCTCGTCCAGGGATAGACTGAAATCTACTAACCATGCCAACAGCAAAGCAGATATTAGGTCTAGTACATAGCTTAGCATACATGAGACTCCTAACAGCAGAAGCATAAGGGACCGCCTTCATTTTTTCTATCTCATTAGTCATTTTTGGGGACTGATCTTTTGACAGAGAGATTCCATGTCTAAAAGGGAGAAAGCCTTTCTTGGAATCTTGCATGCTAAACCTGGTGAGAATAGTATCAATATAAAGTGCTTGGGACTAGCCTAAAATCCTTTGTTTGCGATCTCGCATAAGCTTGATCCCAAGGATATGTGCTGCATGTCCCAAGTCTTTCATATCGAAACGTGAGGACAACCATTCCTTTACTAAATTCAACATGCTCACATTATTTCCTATGAGCAAACTATCATCTACGTACAAAACCAACAATGTAACTTTATCTCCATCCCACTTCTTATATACACAAGACTCATTTTCACATTGATCAAAATCGAAAATTTTAATCGATGCGTCAAAACAAGTTTTCCATGCTCTAGAAGCTTGTTTTTATCCATAAATGGATTTCTTTAATTTACACAACATGTGCTCATTGCCACTTTTTATGAAACCAACTGGTTGTGCCATATAAATGCATTCATCAAGACTTTCATTTAGAAAAGCCGTCTTGACATCCATTTGCCAGATCTCATAATCGTAATGAGCAGCAATGGATAAGAGAATCCTAATGCATTTAAGCATGGCTACTGGCGAAAGGCTCATAATCGATCCCTTCTTTTTGAGTAAACCCTTTTGTAACAAGCCTAGCTTTAAAAGTTTGCACTTTTCCATCCACTCCCCTTTTTTTCTTATAGATCCATCTTCAACCAATGGGTTTGACTCCAGTAGGTGGTTCTACAAGATCCCAGGCTTGATTGGAGTACATGGACTCCATTTTAGATTTCATAGCTTCAACCCATTTATCAAATCTGTATCCTGTAGTGCTTCATCGTAATTAATAGGTTCGGTATTAGGCTCTTCAGGGATTCTATCATAAGATTCTCCCAAGAGCGCAAATCGGAGAGGCTTTCTAATAATTATCCCACTACGACTAGTCACTACAGGCGGAGGCTAATTTCGTTGTTGAATCACAACATCATCTTCTGGAACTGAAGCTTCAATGTTATCGTCCACACCTTGCGGTGCTGGGATATCATTAACTTCTTCCATGAGTGCAGGCTGCAGAACAATTTCAGGTTGTTCAACAATCTGAGGTCGCTCAACAATCTGAGGTTGCTCAACATTACTCCTACTACTTTGGGGTAGTGAGATGTCAGGCAATTGCTCTTGTCCAATCTGCTGCCTATTGACATTTCTCCCACTACGATAATGCAGTGGTATGTCAATATTGGCTTCCGGGATACGTTCTAGAGATGAGTCTTTAGTTACTCCATTACTTAATTCTTGTAAAACTAGTTCACTTCTAGGAATATGGTTCATTAAATAGTCCTCTTCTAAAAATCTGGCATTTGTTGTAACAATTACCTTCTTTTCTTTGGGACAATAAAACAAACTGCCTTTAGTTCCTTTTGGATATCCAATAAAAATGCATACTTCTATCCTTGATTCCAATTTATCCGCTTTCCCTTTCAGCACATGTGCTGGACAAACCCAAACCCGAATGTGCCGTAAACTTGGCTTGCGCCCAATCCATAATTCTACTGGAGTTGAAGGTACTGACTTTGAAGGAACCAAATTTAGAATGTATTTTGCTATTTCTAAAGCATATCCCCAAAAGGAAGAAGGCAAATTGGAATAACTTAACATTGATCTAACCATTTCCATAAGGGTCTTATTTCTTCTTTCTGCCACACCATTTTGTTATGGTGTTCCTGGTGCAGATAATTGAGATGTAAGTCCACTGCCTGATAAGTATTTAATGAATTCCGCAGAAAGGTATTCACCACCACGATCAGACAATGTTTTGATATATTTATCATGTTGTTTCTCCGTTTTTGTCTTAAATTCTTTGAATTTCTCAAAGCATTCAGACTTACGTCGCAATAGATAAATGTATCCATATTTTGAGCAATCATCTGTGAAAGTCACAAAATACTCAAAACCGCCTTTTGCTTGTATATTCATAGGGCCACACAAATCAGACTGAATTAATTCTAGCTTATCGCTAGCTCTATTTCCTTTGAGGGAAAATGTTTCTCGGTCATTTTACCTTCTAACAGGATTCACAAGTTGGCAGTGATTCCACTTTCAGTGAACTCAAAGGTCCATCAGAGACCAATCTCGAAATCCTATTTAGATTTATATGACCTAGACGTAAGTGCCACAAATAAGTTTGACTCAATTCAGAAATACGTTTACTTTTATATGGAAGATTAATGTTATTTAAATTTTTTGGTTGTTGTAGCACATGAGGAGATATATCAAGAATAAAAAGGTAATGTACTCTAGCAGCAGTGTAGATAAAACATTTATTAAACTTAATAACAACAGAGTTATTAGCAATATAAACATTATAACCAGCATCCATTATTTCTGAAATCGAAATCAAATTCCTTCTAATAGAAGGTACGCAGAGAACATCTTTTAAAACTAAAACTCTATCACTACTAAACGAAACTCTAATATCCCCTAATGCTAAAGCTGGTCCTGGCTCGCCATTGGCTTGAAAAACGTAAACTTCATTCTCACTTAGCTGCCGCGTTTCCTGAAACCCCTGCAAAGTAGTGCAGATATGATTAATGGCTCCCGAATCTACACACCAAAACATGGTAGAAACAGCCGCTAAACAAGTTTCAACGACATTTAAATTTGAATTACCTTGCTTATTCAACTTTGCCAAATAGGCAGGGCATTGCTTTTTGTGATGCCCAGGTTGCTTGCAATGATAGCACTTGCCTTTGGGCTTTTTCACACCAGCCGCACCTCCAGGTGCCAAAACCTTTTGAGCCTTCTTCTTTTTCTTATCGCCTTTCGACTTTGAAACCGAAGCTTTCTCAACATTGAGTGCCATAATTGGAGCTTGTTGTTTGATAATAGATTCTGTCACTTCCAGCTCATTCAACAATTTCGCTAGTGACAAATCCATTTTGTTCATATTATAGTTCAAGCGAAATTGTTAAAAACTGTCAGGCAGAGTTTGTAGGACCATCTCAACTTGAGACTCCTTATCAATCACAACTCAAAGGACCTCAGTTCATTCAGAAGACTCATCATCTTCAGAACATGGTCCCTGACCGATGATCCTTCAGCCATCTTGGTGTTCAAAAGGCTTTCATGACTGTCTGCTTAGCCGCCCGATTTTGCTCACCGAACATCTCTTTGAGACTTTCGAGCATATCATAAGTAGATCCCATAGACTGACGCTGATGTTGCAAAACATTCGCCATAGAGGCAAGAATGTAACGTCGCGCCATCTCATCAGCCTTAACACATTTGTCATAGGCCTTAACCTGATCATCAGTAGCATTTCAGGTTTTTCTGGGCACTCCTCAGTGATTACAAATTTGTAACCTTCAATAGTTAGGACAATATCAAAGTTCCTTTTCCAGTCAACATAATTCGGTCCTTCTAACTTGTTTTGGTTCAAAATTGAGGTAAGTGGGTTGAATGAAGACATGGTTAATCTGAGAGATATTCACATTAAATAGATCATTAGTTATTTATTAAGAATAATTTAATTCAGAACAACACATTACACATATAACCATGGTCATTGAACAATTAGATTTGTTAGGGAAACTTAACTATTCATGCAAAATATATGAGTGATGTAAGATATTAACCCCATAAATTTAAACAGGACCAACTCAGATGGAGAGTAAACTGTTAATTTAAGATAGGTAAATATCACTTATATAAACACTAGTTTCATTGAATCAACATGTAACTCAGTGGGAGAGTTAATACAAGTAATCAAATAACTAGAGGCAAAACTACAGTAATTATCTATAATGAATTTATCTGATGTGGAAGAAGACCTATGTCAACATATAAATTTATTATATTACTGTAAAACATGATTGGAGACAATGGTATTTGAACCCTACCATCACAGATTTATTTTTCAAAAAATTCTTTTATTAAAAAAATTTCCAGAAAATAGAAAAATGGCCAAAACCTATCTAAACGACCCCGAATGCGCAGAAAATGGCGTACATCATGACCAAAGGTCATGTGTATTTCTCACTGGGCCGTTTCTGATGAACCTACCAAATTTGAGGTCAATCGGAGTTCGACAGAATTTCAGAATTCTAAAATCATGACCTATTTGTAGAATTATATTTTTGGCATTTTTAATGGTTTTTTATTATTTTGACTGGTTCAAATCATATAGTATACTGATGTATGTTAAAACATGATTTCAGAACCCAAAATAATAGGTGTCCAAACAGAATTGTAAAAAACAGTATGTTTTTCACCGTTCAAAAACGCCACTGTTCATAATTCCGTATGTTAATCCAAAATTTCAGAACTAATAGCATACAACACAGTCACGTTATTATTAATGTAACACTGTGATTACGATCTAACACAAAAAATGCAACTATAACAGATTAACAGTATTAATCCACTGTTTTGGCATATATGTATTAATCTATAATCACAGATTTAATTGTACTCTAAAATAGTCACGTTTTTATTAAAACAAATTGCTATCCATCAAAAAACGTAATTAAATAGACTGTCATCAAATATAATACCACTGTTTATGCATGTGTATATTAATTCATAATTTCAGAATACTAATAAATACAATCACGTTTTTGACATAGAATAATCATTCCAAACATGTATCAGTAAACAACACGTTTTAATATTACTCTATTTATGATGTATTACATTATCTAGTTAGATGTAAGACGGCGTCTGATACCAATTGTTAGAACATGCGGAGCGGAAGCAAGCATACAACCAGGCATCAAATACATGTAAATTAGACAATGCTATAATCACTAGATTAGAAAGGGCATCTCCCGGGATACCGTCCTGTAGTCCCAAACATAAAGGTGTAGGGGGATCTCCCGGAATACCGATCCGTAGTTCTGAAGTAAACAAACAAGGGGCATCTCCCGGGATACCGCCCCGTAGTGCCAAAGTAAACACACAACAGTCTCAAGAAAGGAATCAACAGTTCTATTCAAGAAAATAGGAATTTTTACTCTAAACATGCTACACAGAAACCAAGTAGGAAGTTAAGTCACAAAATCATGCTTTCCTAAGCTAAACAGGAAACTTCAAGTACAAGTATTGCTCAATTAGAGGAAAAACACAGATATTTACTTAATAAAAATGGGGTTTTTCAAAAATTAGCACATGTATGCACTCGTCACCTCACGTACACGGCATTCAAATAACAACAGTACCAAAAATCCTAAGGGGAGTTCCCCCACACAAGGTTAGGCAAGCAACTTACCTCGAACCAAGCTCAATCAATCCGAAATCACGCCCTTGCCACGAGTATCCAACTCCGAGTGGCCCAAATCTAATCAAATCAATTTCATAATGTAAATATAACTACAAACAACGAGTTTAGCTAAAGGAATCGAAGCTAAGGAAAGAAAATTCAAAAACACCCAAAAATCCTTCCCGGGCCCACGTCTCGGAATCGGGTAAAAGTCACAAATTATGAACACCCATTCACTCACGAGTCTAACCATACCAAAATCACTCAAATCCGATACCAAAATCTCGATCAAAATCCCAACATTCGGCCTAAGAACTTTTCTCATTTTCCCCCTATTTTTCACCCCAAATCCGAAATTAAATGATAAAACTAACAATACATTAATGTATTAGAACCAAATTAGAGTTAGAATTCATTACCCAATCTTTCCCCTTCCAAATCCCTCCAGAAATCGCCCTCCACCGAGCTCCAATTCAATTTTTAGAGTTATGAACTCAAACCCTCGATTTCTCTCTTTTCTGCCCAGCGATTTCCGCTTCTGCGAGGGGTTAACCGCACCTGCGGTCCTGCTTCCGCGGCCCATACGCCGTACCGGCGGAATTTCATTAAATCTCCAGATCCCGCACCTGCGCCCCTCTTCACGTAGATGCGGTTCCGCTTCTGCGGTCCTTGAGCCGCATCTGCAGCCAACTGCTATATGCCTCATACCGCATCTGCGGTTGCCTAACCGCTTCTGTGGTGCTGCACCTGCGGTCCAAACTCCGCAGGTGTGAAACCAACTGGTTCAGCAAGTTCAGCAATTTCCTTAGTCCAATTCAACTTTCGATAAGCATCCGAAACTCACCCGAGGCCCCCAAGACCTCAATCACACATGCCAACCAATCCTAAAACATCATACGAACTTATTCCAACCCTCAAATTACCTCAAACAACGCTAAAACCATGAATCACTCTCCAATCAATGCCTAAAGAACTTGAAATTTCAAGAATCCTACAACCGATGCCGAAACCAACCAAACCATGTCCGATTGACCCCAAATTTTGCACACAAGTCACATTCAACACTACGGATGTATTCCAACTTTCGGAATCGGATTCCGACCCCGATATCAAAATTTCACTATTGATCTGGAAACTTAAAAAATTCAACTTTTAGCATTTCAAGCCTAAATAAGCTACGGACCTCCAAAACACAATCCGAACACATCCCTAAGCCCGAAATCACTCAATGGAGCAAACGGAATCGACGAAATTCCATTCCGAGGCCGTCTTCACACTGTTCGAACAACGGTCCAAATTCTAAAGCTTAAGCTCTCATTTAGGGACTAGGTGTCCCAAAACACTCCGGAACTCAAAACGAATCTTCCTGGCAAACCACAATAGCAGAAATAAACACCGGGAAAGTAGTTAATAG